TAACACAAATGGACACAATACAAAGACAATCAATTGACCAGAATTTAAGAAAACTTGCCGAAACCGCAGGATTCGCAGACATTTATACACAAGACTATAGCGGATATTTTAAAGATATCAAAGACTACATATTTTTAAACGGTGAAAAATACAGAACACAAGATATTTCATCTATAAATATCTTCAATTTTGTCACATTAAAAAACGAAATTCTAGCTTTTCTAGGATGGCCCTATTACATCTTAGAAAAATTAACAATCTTATACGCAATGTTTAATTTTATAGGATTTCTTTTCTCACTCTTAAAAGGAATCTATAACACATGCGCTATACACACACAAGTAAACAGACATGCAAGTGTAGCACGCATACTGTTTGCAGGATTTTTTGGAATTTTTTCATCATCAATAAACAAAATACTTCTAGATGCACAAATAAAAGAATATAACACGAAAATATCCACAAGACAGAACACTTACGACGAAGAACACAATAATATAGAGATAACACCTACCGCACCACAGTTGCCACCCCTACCGCAAAACCATTCATTATCATTAGTTCCCCGTAATTTTCGAAACCTAGCAATCACACATAATCCAAATTCTAGACAAAATACAACACAAAGTCCCATCCAACACATAATGACACATCATTCACAAAATGAAAATACATATGAACAAGTTATAGAACAACCTCACACCACCACTTTTCAATCTCAAAATAATCATTTTTTTTCGCCCACAATGAGCCGACAACTTGGATCCCTCCATCGCTCAAATTCCCACCCAGCCAACCTCCAAACTCAAATCCCAATAATCCCACTTTTTGCTTTCCCACCACCCAATTTTCCGGTTATTAGTATATCATCAAGCGCGAATTCTGACACTAACTCAGATATTTCAGTTTTATACTCTATCTCACAATTTAATAATCCTAATGTAGAAACCCCTGACGAAATTGCAGACTCCGAACCATCCCCATCAAATTATACTCAGACCAACCCCTCAGTTTTTTCAAAACCCCCTTTTCAACCAATTCCATCAAATCATTCACTCCCATCCGTTTCCACTCCTTCTTATGTTTCGCAAGTGACCCCAACCTATTCTCCACTTCATTCCGACAGATCATATAATAATTCCCCCCAAATTTCCCAGGGACTCGATAATTTTATTACCCTACAGCAACAGTTAATACACCCTAACACCCTCACAATACATCAACTATCATCCACAATAGAATCCTCAAACCCACCTACTCCTACACCCTCCTCAGCTTACACTGCATCATTCACACAATCATCCACATCCACTGAAACACCTAGTAGCACTCACCCAGCTTATCGCACTTTTAAACGAAAATTCCCGAATCACCCATTCCCGACCAAACCCGGAACAGCCTGCGAATATATTAATCACCCGCAACACACAAACACAAAAAATTTTCTTGCAATCACCTTACCCTCATTTCCACAATATACATTAAACACACGTAACGATACTAATGACACACGTAGTTTTGTAGATGAACATGTTTTAATGCCAACACTTCATTGGACAGCTTATTATCATTTTACTAACCCCCTTTGCCTACCACTAACTAATACTCATGACAGCATAGAAAGAAACAAAGACATGTTATATAGACTCACTACAACACTAACACCTCGACAATTTACTTACGTAGGATATAAAAAATTACTAAAAACATTCACTGCACCCCGAGCTAACGAATTTACAATAGAATATTACGACCATAATATCATCCGAACCAATCAAGACCAATTTTTAGATGAAGACCGCTTCGCTAACCCGCAACTAACAGAAAAATTTTTCATCAAAACATCATACGTATTCACACTTAATATTTTTGAGAGAAAGTATGATCACATTATTTCAGAATCACTAGCTGATATTCAAGCTTACGAAAGTTTCCATGACAAATTTCAGTTATTTTCAATAAGCTTTCACTTTCTTTCACCACATGAACGCGATTTGCACTGTTCCCACGATATTATGTTACGCAGTAAACAAACCCACACATATACATACTATCGTTTTATACAAAATCATTTTGATTTGCATACCCCATCAAGACAACCTCACCACCGTTTTCAGTTTCTTAATTCAAAGTACACGTCACCATTTTTCCTTAATTTTACATACTGCATCAAAGATACTAACCTCCATGGCATCCTCCGCAACTATGACCCAGTTACCCAAATGTATATATTTTGTCCCATCACGAAGACCCTTAATGCCGAAGAATCACGACCCTTCCTTATCCCGCATGAATTTATCCAGCCTATTGAAATACCCATATTAGAATTCATTCACAATACTAAATATAATCATAAGATATATAACCTCATTCAAAACACACCTTGTGAGTTTGCAGTTGGCACCGAAGAACTAAAAACCATCAAAGCACTTCAATTGCTTTGGCCACTGCTACAAACTAAAAACTTCATACGATTGAAATACTAGCCAAATTACTAACAAAATCAGATATGATACACGACATCTTCCCCCACGGCTTTTTCCCAGAAGATTAACAGGTAAAAAAAAATTTAAAATACTCTTCACTAAGAAATTTAAATTAGTACTAACCATTTTTTATCAATGTTTGATCTATATTTCTAGTCTTCGCACCACAATCACCTACAAAACAGAAAAGAAAAATAAAAATACAAACTTGTTGAATTATCTTAAAATTCATTAATTTCTTGCACTAAATAATGTAGTAAAATTCATACCAAATGTGTAATTTCATTTATAAATTATTTCCCCACAAAGCAGTAAAATTAAATACGATGAAAATTTATAATTTTAAATTTCCCCAACACGCAGTAAAAATCAAATTCAATGCAATAAATCCTCCGCAACTATGACCCAGCACAAAACCATTCATTATCATTAGTTCCCCGTAATTTTCGAAACCTAGCACATAATCCAAATTCTAGACAAGATACAACACAAAGTCCCATCCAACACATAATGACACATCATTCACAAAATGAAAATACATATGAAAAAGTTAAAGAACAACCTCACACCACCACTTTTCAATCTCAAAATAATCATTTTTTTAGCCCACGATGAGCCGACAACTTGGATCCCTCCATCGCTCAAATTCCCACCCAGCCAACCTCCAAACTCAAATCCCAATAATCCCACTTTTTGCTTTCCCACCACCCGCACAGCTCGCCCACGAAGAATTGTTTAAATAATGATTTTAAGTTTCAAGCTTTCACTATAAACAACTCTAACACACGATAACAAGCTGCAAACTTTTTTTTAACCCGGTTGGAAAGGAATTATATACTAAATCAAACTAACCAACGCAGCTTACTAAACACCACAAATCATAAAATGGCAGCATGACTAAGAAAAGAAAACCAACGGTACCCAAACCGGATTAACCCAGTTTAAAACTGGATAATTTAATCTTTTGAAGACTATTATAAAGTCTAAGAAAGAAATAAAAAAACACAAAAAAGTCGCAAGACAAACCAATACCAAAAACAATTTGATTTTTGAAAAGAGGACACAACCAAAGTAACATAAGAAAGACCAACATAAAACCAACATAAAACGTTATCACATAACGGGACATCTCAAAGAAACAGCATGAAATCATACTCCCACTCCTGGCCTAACCCATCAGAGACGACGTCCTGAGCATGCTCTATAGCCGGCCTAACCCACCGCGCTAGATCCACGCTTTGTGACCACACTTCAATTTTTAATAAGAGGTACTCAAGGGTGAGTAACTCTTCAAAATAACCGAACTAAAACAAAACGCTTTTGTGAAAACAACTAACTAAATTCATGATTAAAAAACAGAGTTAACATAATTTAATAAAATGTAAATCATACTTTGCAGTATATAGATCAATACACAAGAACAAAGACGAACTTCCAAAAACTAGATGATCCCATCACACTCGAACGAAAGAATGGCTAAGCACAACCGACATGCCGTCCACAATCACGACTCAAAAGGATTTAGAGTACGACTTGACTTCTCAGAAAAGGACTTCATTGAACTAGACCAATGACCACCTCGATGCTCAAGTATACGTACAGATCCGAGTTACAAGGCATCCCTTCCACACATGATCTTCACGCCATTCCCAGACGAGGTTGCACACAAAACAAGTTCTCTACATAATACAGGAAAACCCGTCGTAGCAACCATCTTGAAATCGGATCGATTTCATTGGGGATCACAGTCGTTGTCGAATGACGACATAACAATTTCCTATCCATAATTCCAGCGTCCTGGAACTTCCTTATCCAAGAGGAACCGGATAAGAAAATTATGTTCGCCAAATACAAACGTTCATCATCCATCCTTCAAATTGCAGAGAAGAAAGATAGTACCAAAAAACTCTGTAAAACCCGGATGGGTGGAACCTGATCTAAACTACATTTTAGTATTGGATAAATTAGATATTTTACCACTGTAAAATATTTAATATTAACCAATCATAATCCATCCAACTAACAACCCACTTATTTGTAAGTGCTGAAATTACTTGTAATTGCAGCACCAGAGAGATTTGAATTTAACTTAGAAATTAGTTGCTTCTCCAAGAGAACTTCAGCTGCCGCAATAAGCCAGTATACTCTAGATCTATTGAGCCTAGCAGAGACTAGTTAAACACCCTGAGACTAGTAGATATAAGAGTAAGATTAGGATCGGTATTAGACTAAGAAGTTGCACGAATCTATCCGGCCGAAAATAAGATAGCGTGACGAGCAGACGGTGTACCCTATCCGAAATTACTCTATGAGTTAGACCATACAACTTAACTCAGTGCTGGTTGCTAGAGGGTGAGTGATAATTACCCAGCCCGAAAAAAAAAGAACCAAAAAAAATCCACGTGGTTTTTAAAGAGGAGCTCAACAGCGGTTCTCCGAGATGAGCTGAAGAGCTCGTATGTTGGCGCTTTCCCTTTTGGATAAATCGTCTTAATTTTAATTAATCACTCTGACCTCGAAGTGTCCTAAGTACTGCTCTTCATTGAAGGAGGAGGAGGGGTCGGCAGACACTATGGCGAAGCCCTTGAAGGGGTCCCGACTGGTCGCGATCGAGACTGAAACGAGACGAAATCTTTTCACTGAATTTCACTGTACGAGAGTTGACATAATCAATAAAAGTTCAACAATTCAACAGTTCTAAAGCTACCGTAAAATATCATAATAGCAAAAATTAAATATCGCGTATGAACGAATATGGTATGCCATCTTCTGTTTTTTTAATATTCACAAATAAATTTTAAAAACAAATTATAATAGAGAGGTCATTTCATGAGCCGAAATTGATTAGGCTTCCTGGTCCCAGAATTTTTTGCGACTTTTATCAAAGCTTGAAGAAAGTTCTTTAAGAACTTCGCAAGACCGTGCCAACGATCTTGAAGATGGGGTGAAGATTGTGAAGAAAATCCAAAAACAATAGAAGACGAAAAACAAAGATCGCAGAGAATTTATAAGATTTTTTGAATTATTAAAATTCGGAGATTGTGAGCGCTTTAGAAACAGGTTATAAAAGATGTTAAATTTGATGAATCAAAATTATGAGCTATAAAATGAAGCATTGCGACCAAGAATTAACTAAAAACCATCAGAAAAATTTCAATTTTTCGCTAAAAATTTTGTCTAAAGTTTACTTATGATTTTCAGTTGCGAAGCAATTTGGGGCAAAAAATTGAGGCATAAGCACCAGCGGATTTAGGGAGGGGGATGGGCGTTCAGGAATTCGACCTCTTTGTACTGTTTTGAGATATCCATTTTTTGTGACGGACCCTCAAATTTTCTAAAGACGCCATCGACGCCAAAATGTTCTAATTTGAGTGGTGAGCGCGCGCCGACAAAAACGCATTTTTTTGGTCAAATTTTTCTAAAAATTGCCTAAAACGCTTTTTTGGCCTTTTTTTGAAAATTTTGCTTGCGGTGCAAAAAATTTGGTCAAAATGGGGTCTCTATAGTGATTTAGGAGAGCTCAGAAAATCAATTTGGTCAACCTAAGAAAAAAATCGACAAAGTTTTCGAAATTTTTTTAAAAATCAGCCACCCCACCCCCCCCCCCCCTCGAGAAAATCCTAGATCCGCCCTTGGGCATAAGCAAATCAATTCAATTGAATCTGAACACAATTGACATAACTTTGGGTCCTTTCCCATAATAGCATCCCCAGTAAAAAAAATCTATGGTCCTAAAACAGAATGTGTTATATATCACTAGGGTGTCTATCTTGTTGTTGGGGGCTACACAGGTTTTTTTCACCTTCATATTTTTCTCACCTTCAAATAATTTCTTAACCTTCATATTTGTGAGATGGGACGAAGTCGTTCACGACTAGCTTGGAGGTGGCGTGTCTGACTTCAATGAAGTAGCCGTTATCGCCCCCCAGCGCCTCCACCTCGTGCCCTCCTGGGAAGCGACTGCACCAGTGGCCGGGGTTTCCATCCGGCATTGCACCCACGTGACCAAGTCCGCAGAGCACTAGTCCAAGTGATAATAATACACTCAGTGGGGACATACGCATAGTGCCCCGAACCGACGGCGAAGAGTAAGTTAATCGAATAAAGGATAGGAGACTTAAATAATATAAAAAGAAAGGTTCGCTTTTCAATAAATAGAGTCTCATTGTTTGGACAATAAATTTGTAAAATTTGAGTATTTTTGATATTCACTTAAGTTTTTCTAGTTCTAGAATAGGTGAAAAGAAATGAATCAATTAAACATTAGTTAATGCAGAATTAATAAAGTTCATGATGGAGGAGCTTGATGAGCGACTGCGTCTCTGATTTCGTGGCTGCCATCTGAAATATTCGTCAATCAAAATTTCTTCACCTAGAGTGTTTTAAATTTTCGCAAACTAACTTCCAAATCGAAGCCGGAAATATGTAATATCCAAAACTTCCCTCAATAAATCAATGAAAACCAGTGATTTTAAGCAATAAAACAACTTTACGTTAGTTTTTTTTACGGCTCAACATTTTCAGCTAAAAACGGAACCAAATGAAAAGGAAGCCGTTTTCATAATTCATACTTGATGCTTGATGCATTATTGATGTTGAAATAAATATGTACCACTATAATGGAAAGATTTTTGCATGGTACCATATTTAATTTTTTAGCTGGACATCCGCTGTGTGCATTGAACGAGTGGAAGTTTACTGTGGCAAAATTACTTGTGCAAAATTTCCAAAAGTTTGTTTGCATGGATTTTTTGTAACCAAAACAAAAGCTTGCTCCACTCATTGACAACTGCGATTAATGTGCCCCATGGAACTGTTTTCAACAAAAAAAAATCCATTTTCAGTTTTTTTTTTGGTTTGATTTTAACCTTTTTTGTTTCGTTTTTAATTGATAAATATTTGTGGCTTGGGTTTTGGATGTTTTTGAACATAAAGCTTTTGTGTGTTATTCATCATTTTGCTACAAATCGGTTGAATTGACACAATTGTAGTGTCACGACTGTTATCTTAAAAGTTTGTGTATGGCTTCTGTATCTGTCGCCAAATAAGACCATGAAAGAATCTAATTGGTCCGTTGTTGAATGATCAAACCGGTCCATAAAATCATCTCGCCCTATTATTTAGAAACCACTGAGTAATGAATGGAACTGAAGTTGATGTGGACTAAATCTATGCATTTTACTTACAAACGGCTGCAAATCGCATTTTTTTTATTTGAGATTCCTTTCAAACTAAAGAGGAAAGACATTGGTCATGTCTGGTTGTGTAGTCGGATATGTCTGCCTATTGAAATGGTTGGTTCAAATTGACCAAATTTGATAGAATACATTCGAGAAGTTTTGAAAAACCTTGTGTATTTAACATTCAGATTATATAGATAAAACATAAATCTAATAAAAAGTGAAAGTGCCTGTGTAAAATAATACAAACTTTTCACATCACAGTTTGCAGCGTAGTTGAAGTTATTGTTCCCGTTTTTATCGTATAGAAGGAACCAACATTTTTTTCGCATGGGTTAATTGATATCCTGTATTATCACCTGCACTTTTGTAAAATCAAACCACTCATTGGATATATTTTTATAGCCTATATGTTTTAACTTTTAACACAGCAACCAAAACGGCTCGTATTAGGGCCCTGAATGTTTTGATTGCCCTTTAAGTGCCTGAATTTTTAAACCCCCATAACTGCTCTTTTTTTCTAGCGTGATCGCAAATCACGATTAAAACAAATAATTTAGCGGCAAACTTTTTTGTAGCTTGAGCACTTATCATCAATACCTTTCAGACTGTTTAACAAATGGCTTGATAAAAAGTCCCATATGAGTGGAGAAAAAAAACACCCTGAAAAGTGTCATTTGAAGTAAAGCTGAAATTGCCGAAGCCCTATCACACAATAACTAGTGTTTAAAAAAAGAAAAACCGAAAAAAAATGCAAAAAAATAGTCTTGTGAAAGCTATCTGTACTGACAAGAAATAGATTGCAATCAATTTTTCTACAAATTATAAAAAAAAGAACTGTAAAAAATTCGATTTTGAATCAATTCAAAATTGGCTTGCTTTGATACAAACATTACGAGGCCAAACTGTGCATTTTGTGCATTGTAAGCGGATTCCGCAGCAAGGACGTTCCCTTCGTTTTTTTTGTTCTTACCTTCTCTTTGATCGTTCCGACAAAACTTTAACATTTTTAAAGACTTGTCTCTGGAATCCAGGAACATACAGACACAAAATTGTGCTCCTATCCAGTGCACAGTTTGGCCTCGTAAGGAAACTGTAGCTTAACAATTCAACTTCAATCGAATATAAATATATTTAAAGCTATTTTTTGGCAAATTTTTTGGTTTCATTTTATAGGATTTCAGTAGCAAAAAATCGATTTAAATGAATTCGAAGCGATTTTGTCTTTTTTTGTATATTCATTTCATAATGATTACATATCAATTATAATCAGCAATAATTATAATCAATAATTATATTTAACAGTCAAACGATAGAAAAAACTGAAAAAAAATTAAAACCTCTGCTTTTCAGTTGACTTTTCGTGTTGATGTTTGGGCTCAAAAGACGCGATGAGTATCACAAGTTTGTTAGTTCGATCTCAATTCGCTTCAAGGATTTTGCTATATTGCAGTGAAAAAAGCTTCAAGGACCAAAAACGTAAAAAAACAGAGGTCGTCACCTATAGGATCAACAATACTGCTCGCATCAGGGCGAAGCTTCAGAGTTAAACTTTGTAATTAGACTTTCTGATGAGAAGTTTCAAAAAATTTTGTTTTTGATTTTTTCAAAACCCGGTATTTGTGATTTTCTAGTATTTTTTAAACTTTCAGTTAATCTTGTTTTGTTTGATGGCATAACGTCACCCGTAATCTATGATTCATCATTTTTTAGCAAAAAACGACAGCTCCTCTCAATTCTTCTTTCTACCATTTTTTTTTTTTCAAACTTTCACTTTTTTGCTGTTCCCACCATTTGAAATGGGGCGGAACTTTGAATTCGGGTGTGTTTTCTTTTTCTTAGTTTTGTTATTCACACAAAATTAGGTAGTCAATTAAACATTGGACTGGGCTGAGTAATAAATCTTATTTAATCCCTTTCAGTCGTGATTCGAAACACATTAAAAAATTCCCAAAAATTATTTCTAGTTTCGAGAAAAACCGGTTGACATTTTTGATTAATCGGCTATGACTCTCTAATATGCCTATATTATAGTTTTATAGCAGATCCTTTTATCACACGATGCAGACAAATCTACACTTATTTGAAAAAAAAATTAGTAGACTTTTAAAGACTATGGTCGGAACATTCTGTGGTATTTTCACAGCAACCGGCTATCCTTGTTGTGTTTCCATCGTGTTCTAAATATCAGCTGTAAAAACAACTTTGATTTTTGATATCAACTGTAGCGAGGCAGTTTTCACTGCAGATCAAAAAAAGTCTTCTTGAAGTTATTGTTCCGACTTTCGATACGAAAGTAGCGGAATATTTGTGCTCGGGGTGGGTTTTTTTTTCTTCAGACAAATTTCAACTTTTTAACTAGCCATTTTTGACGGAATTTTTTTTTATATCATTCGAAAGCTATTGTTGTCATGGGCTTAAATTTGAAAAAATATTTCACCTGTGACCATTTTTCGTAAAGTTATGAGGGTTTAAAGATTGCCCTTTTGACCAATTTGGGACAATTAACGCGAGATATAATTCGCGCTATTAACGCGTAATAAGCGGAGATTTAATCCGTCTTAGAAATCGTTCCAAATTGGTTGAAAGAAACTTATTTGCCTTAATTGATTTGTTACAAGGAGCGAAATCTATTGTTTTGTACTTTATATGGCGTGTGGGGGGATGATTTTCATAGAAAAATTTTCAAATTTTAGAAAACACGTTTTTCATAATATTTTATTTCATTTAATTTTTTTATGCTGTTTATGTTATTACTGCTCCATAAACATTAATAGGCAGTCGGAACTTTCAGGGCTTCGCCCTGATACGAGCAGTCTTGTTCAAATTTCAATTTGACCAATTTTAGCCGTCAGAGCGCATGTTATTTTGAGAAAATTTTAAATGAAAGAACAAACAAGAATATCCGATTGCTGAGCACAAAATCCAGCTTGTTGCGATGAAAATATCTTTGCATTAATATTGCAACTGCAACAATAATTTCGCGCAATATTCTAAAATGTTGATAATTTTATGCGCAGAGGCGAAATTGCACTTCGCAAACACAACAAAAAATGGTAAAACTGAGTTTTCAAATGCTAAATTGTACAAAAACACGTAATTAATCGGTGATACTCAGACGATGAAATCAGAACAATTCAACTTTCTTTCCAGAATAGATATTTACTTACGCGTAGAGCAGTCCAGAGTCTTTGAAACATAAATGAAAACAATTTGTACTTTTTGTAAGCGCTGTAATTTTAACGGTAATTTGACAACATCACATTACTAAACCAACTCAATAAAAACTTCATTTTAGCTAAGCCGAAAAACAGCTTTTTGATAGAAAACGATTGACAACACTTCTTATTTTTGAAGTGAGTAACAATATATAATGCATAATATACATTGCTTTTTGCACATATCTGTGACGATCGATTCACAGGTCAAAGTAATCGGTGCAATAAAAATAAATCATTTTATAAAACTTACTATTGCTTTTAAAATTTCAATAAGTTATTACTAAGATCATAATTGTTTGGTGCAAAATTGTATAACTTACCGTACAATTTTAACCAGTTAGTTAATCCGACTTGTCAAAAAGTTGAAGTGAAAATAAAAACTCTTAGCTGTCATGTAAACAGGCTCCTCATCTTGCTAATGATCACTGGTTAGTTCTAAGTCTGCATACAAAATGCCATTAGCTGATGACAGGTCTTAAATTAATGAGAAAATGAGTACTCTCAAGATTTGATAGAAAAGTATCCCAAGGGTATGCATTAGCCTTAATTCAAGAGATCGATTTGATGATGTTTCTTAGACTATAGTAGATTAAAATAGTTATACCGTTAACAATAACTTCATAAGAACCCTAAAAATTGTTCTTCGCTAAGAGGTTCATGGTCCGAAAACTTTGAAAAAATTTTGCTGGAAAATTCCGCCTCTATTTCCCCCTCGTTTTGCTTTTTTCAAGGTTGATTTTTTATAAATTTTAAATAATGAACTCATGCTTTTTTGCGTACTTTTCTCACATATTGGAATCTATATATTTGAAACCAGGCGTTGGTCTGGTATTTTCCCTAGGTGGGGGTTATAAAAAAAAGTTTTCGAAAAACTTTTCTCAAGCCCAATTCGATTTTCTGATGTCTCCCAAGAACACTCAAAAACTTCTCCACTTGTTTAATGCTCTACTGTTTAGAGGCCATTTTATGTTTTTGTTTCATAAAAAAGTTGTCGACCAATGCTGGACTTTGAGACGAAGTTCATCATCCAGAGGGTATGTATTCCTTCAGCACTTTTTGTGCAACTAATTTTGACATACCTTCAAATATTTTCGCAAAAACGGTCTTAGCAACAAGATGCAATTATTTGTTTAGTTTACAAAGACTTCAAAAAGGAGCTCAGAAAGAAGATTTCGGTGGCTCTGAAAATAAATCGGTGATAAAAAAAGCTCTTGTTTTCAATTCAAGGCCGCTTTATGCAGCTTAGCTCGTATTTTTCAGTATTCGGGTCAAATTTGATTTTTTTTCAAGCATTCAGTATCTTCAAAAAACTTATCAAATACTTAACGTTATTTTTATGCAAAGTACACGGTGTTAGCGATGAAGAAAGATGAAAAAAATGACTAAAAGTGAAGACATACTTCCAAACTAGAGAACTTTCAAAAACTATTTGGCTCTAAAACATCAAATAAAACCATATATAACAAGGCTAGCCGGTTACTGTGCAAGTAGAGCAGAATGTTCTGACCATAATCATAAAAAAAATAGATACAAAAGTTTTTTTTTTCAAATTAGTGTCGTGTGTTTAGTGGGTGGTGTGATTCGGAACTATACAATTGCGTGAAAATTAGTAAGTCAGGCTTCATCGGCAACATTTGTCTCCAAAAAATGAGTTAAAACAACGAAAAAAAAAATAAAAGAAAAAAAAAAGTTTTTTTCTAACTTGCACCAAATTCTAATTTTTTTTATTAAAAAAAACTTTGTTTTGCCAAACAAGCGCTACATAGTCTTACAATAACTAAAACCAAAATTTCGTTCTAAAAACTGCAAATTTTCATATAAAAGCATTACTCGATCGCGTACTTGCTCGAAGTTAGACAAAATCTCAAAAAGTTCAAACCGTTTTTTCTCTTATGAATTTCGTTTGAATTACGGCTGAAAACACTTTATCATGATAGATCACTCGGCTCATGAATATGATTATTTGTGTTACCCGATTTTGCGCGAAAACAAAAAAAAATAAAACGCAACCAAATACAAAACGTACCCGAATTGTTCTTGAAATTTTTCTCCATTTTTTCACAGATATAACAAAATATTTTTTCTCTGTATAGTTTTTTTGGTCGACCGAACTTCAACCTCTAACTAAGCAGAATTTGAATTTCAGAAATTTTACATGCCATCTGAGAAACGTCGATGCGTCGAGCTTCAAATGCCTAGAAGAGTACAAGAAATCAAAAATTATTTCCCGTTTTCTTAGGTATATTTATGGCGTTTGCAAATTTGATGTAATTAACCTGAAAAAAAAACGCGTCGGTGCCGGGTAAACTGGCTCTGAATTACATTATAAATGAGTTCAGTCAAACCATTTGCTTCCTTACAACCCTATAACAAACCATATCGACAAAGTGACACAATTTCATCGACCTATGTCTATTCGATTGCGTGACCGATTATCGTTACGACGATGGTGCAGCCTGTCTTTAAGTATCGTGTTCGGTGGCTTATCTGGAGAGAAAAACTTTCCGTGTTTGTCGCGAACTGGATGACACAATTTTTCGATTTGATTAGGGTTGATGAGACGTCTCTTGTCGGTAGTGACGAATAACCTGCGAACACTGAAACTCGCGCATTTCAGCTGATTATTTGAAAGAAGTAAGTCGGGTCCTAGAACCTAGCTTAAAATTAACAAATGATTGGCCAGTCAAACTTTTAACAGACTTCATTAAGTAAACTCGCCTTCAGAGCCCTGTTGATGATGGTATTGACAACAACGGTAATTTCTTAGATAGTATAGTACCAGTGCACCAACAAAACCGTTTATAGTTTGGAGCGTTTTTAGCTATTCTCGCCATTTACTACGGATGTTTTTGTGCCGACTGTGACTACTAAGCAGTCACAAACATTTGCGTAACTCTTATACAGCCTTAACCGACCAATTTAAAAATTTGTTGTGGCTTTCACAAAGAAAAAAATTTCCCAGAGGACTTTGGGCTATTGTCATCTAACAACAATGATCAGTCAAATAGTCGTATTGCAACCTGTTCACAAAAGTGCTTGCTTCATATGCCGTGTACAAAAAACCATAGCGATAAAAGCGATGATGTCGTCGGATCTCCCGAATGAGCGTTTGGGGTCTTAGCAAATTTTGCGGTGTGGATTACTTTAGTACATATCGTGTAACCATCCGGTGCTGCTAGAAAAAAACCTAGATATTTTCATTTAACCACCTTTGCCAGATACAAGCTCTTGTTGGATGAGCAAAAAGTGACTTATCGAGCGCCGCGCTACCTCCACCGCCTTTTGGTCCAAAAACGGAACCGATTCAATTAGCGCGGAAAAACATATACTTGTATGGATAAATGAGTGGAACAAGCTCCTACCTTCCCTCTGGTACATAAATGATAAAGGGGAAATTAAAATCACCAGGAGCCCCACATCATGGTGGGCTATGGGAAAGAAATGTACGCAGTCTTGAGCGAATATCTACTTAGATAATAGTTTCCCGTATAATGACAGATGAAGATCTCTGCTTAGTAAAAGTTGCCTAATCACTTCTGTTTGGGCAACATATCGCAAAATTTTCGACTATTTTTGCTGATGATTGTTTTGACCATTAGAAACGATATATCCGTGCGCAACGGTATGCGAATGATATATGATCACATTGGCCGGAGAGTATGTCAACAAGCGCAAGAAGTGGTGCTCCCGACCCGACCGTAAACTTAAAATTGGTGACCTCGTTTGGGTAGTTGAAACGAACAGCCCAAAGGCTAATACCCGCTCGCATTAAGGTAGGGATTGTGTCGCCGTCTTTGCTGTTTTACGTCCACGTTCGGCAAACTTACTTGTCAGTTTCCTAAGCTCGCTTCAACCCTTCTCCTTTTGGATGAAGAGAAGATTAAGTTGAGGAAGTAAAAATTAAGTGCTTGAATTAATGTTGAAATACTCTCATAAAAAGAACAGGTTGCCGAGCGTTCTAAGATAAAGAAACGCCAAAAGCAAGTAGTTGAGTTCGGGAAGGGTTCGAATCCCTCACAGGCCCTTTGCTTATACAGTGTATTAATAGTAGGATGAAGATACATGTGTGAACAATCCGGCAAAGACATTTTTTCGTCTTTTTTTCTAGTTCAAAGTCCCATTCTTGACCAAACTTGAACGCTTAACAAATTAGCCGGTAGCGTCCGCTATCATAAATAGTTTGCAGACTATAAACTACTTTGTTGACAATTTTTTATGGCAATTCGATAGCCGTTTAAGTCATGACGTTTCCGTCAAAATTAGCAGTCAAAAATTGTGTATTGAATTAACAGTCATATAAAATTTTGATTGTTTCAGGATTCTGACGTTTTACTTTCGGAAACAGATGCTAATCGCAAGAGGGCGTTTTTGATATATACAAAAAAACTACCAATCACATTCGAGCCTCGTCTTTAGCATCCTGACACAACAAATTGAGACCATTTTTCAAATTTCCCAAATGTAACGCAGCTGTTCATTGTTCATATCTGCAACACAACGAAATCAACTGTGTCATCTTTTCATTGCCGCTCTGATGATATTTGTTCACCCACCAGTGAATTCTGTACCTTTTCAGACTTTTAAAAAACAACCAATGAGCTCAACGAGTTCGTATTCACAAAAAAAGCCATCCAGGTCAAATCAGACAAGACAGCTAGCCATACGACCCAGGCAGATGCCGTAATTCGAAGTTGGTCGGAAAAGACTAAATGAGAACGCCACACTTTTCGCAAATTTCCACAAGAAACGCACAACCAAATCTATTAGGAGGCTCGAACAGGTCAATAAAGTTTCTCTCAGAAACAAGAAATTGGCGGAGGACAGAAAATTGCTCTCGCAACACCAAAACACAAAAAATTGCTTCCGCAATCCTAAACCGAAAAGATGACGCAAGACTAAAACTACGACGTCGATCAGAAACAAGAATTGCGAAATTTTTTCCTCAAAGCAAAGTTTTCTGGAATTTAGCAGCGGTGGTGGAAGGCTGCATATAATCATCGACGATCGGCTTCAGTCTTCAACTCGCAGTTCTGATCCGGCTGCACAGATCGCACCCAGGAGATGAGTTGATGGTCGATGCGGTCCAGTACCTGTAGAGGCCGAGATTGCAGAGAGATGTTGATAATT